ACGACAACAACCATAACACGAAAAATAACCAAATAAGAGATGAGCCAGTGAAAAAAAGATCTTAAAAGCAAACGGAGAAAAGACTATAAAAAACAGCTCACGTGACATGAGAAGTGTGATGACGTAATGCCTACGTCACTTACCATAGATATACTATTCATGACACTGGCTCATTTGACACTTTCTTTCGAGGTGTTGGTCTGTCGGCGCTCGGCAGAGATAAAATATCAGAGGTGTCTGTCTGTTCACATGCACTCGCACCACTTTTCATTTCTATGTATGTTTGTGTTTCTACATGCATACATGCATACATATATACATGCATACATACATACATGCATACATACATACATACATATATACATACATACATACATACATACATACATACATACATACATACATACATACATACATACATGTATGTAAAAAAAATGGCGTCCAGGTCGCTTGTAATAAATGAGTTCCTGTATTATTTAGAAAATAATTGGAATTTAGTTGAGAATGAAACGTTTATTAATAATATTTCTGTATTTTATATTTATGAGGATATTGTAAATGCAATTAAATTGCTAAAAAGTGAATTAAATAATTTTAAAATTGAAAAAAGTGAAAAATTGCAGTTGCGCGGGAACATGAAAATTGAGAAAATATTGGAATGTATATCGTTAATTAAACAGTTGAAAGAAAACAAATGTTGGGACAAATGTCCATTATTTGTTAGTTGTAATTTAAATAAAGTTCCAAAGTCTGAAAATTTGTTAACATTGAACTTCGAAACTATCAAACTAGAATTAAAAGATATATTGCACAAACAACAGGTGCAATTTAACAAAGTTATTGAAACTGTTGAAAGTAATAAAGTTGATATTATTTCATTAAAAAACGTTATTAAAACTGCTGATATTAATAAACCAGAAGTAAATACATTGAAAATAAATTAAATTCTAATGTTGTAAGTGGCTACAGTACTGAAATGACAAACAAGGAGGGACAAAAGAAAAATGTCAGTAGTTCTCTGTGGTCAGACATAGCAAAGTCAGAATCACGTCAAAATAACAACAATTGTGAGAAACAAAACAACTCAGGAGAAACCAGCAACAACCCAACAAACAACAAACAAACTGGAAAAAAGACAGCTATGAAAATAATCGGTAAAAAAGTTTCAAATGATTGCAAACTGAAGGCAGATAAAATCTTAATGAAAAAATCTGTGTTCTGTTTAAGCAACGTCAGCAAGTGCCACAGAAATGATGTGATGGCCTACTTAACCGACAATGGTATCCATGTTGTTTCCTGTTATCCCGTACTCAAACAATTCAATAAAATGGCACCAGCTTCTACAGCCGACGTCAACAACAATAATAATAGTCAAACTGAGAATAAAAAAACAGATGAAGAAGAATCCAGTACGTTTAGAGTTTGCATCGATAGCTCTGATTCTAAGAAAATGAAAGACCCTGACATAATGCCCCAGCACATTATAGTACGCGAGTGGCAATTCAATAAGAAACCAGAAACAATTGTCGATCAAACAAAAAAAGATGGATAAACAACATGTTGATAATGATGATGACAGCAGTGATGATGAAGAAAAAGACAATTTAAACTCCAAGCAAACTACATGTAAAAGGTAGGACAATTTTAAGTCGTTGAATGATGAATATAAATTAATAAATAAAGATCTTGATAGCAGTATGTTTTTCAACTTAATGCATTTGAACATAAGAAGTTTGGTCAACAAAACCGATGAATTAGAAAGCTATTTGTCAAACAGTCACATCAAATTCAATGCAGTGCGATAACAGAAAGCTGGTTAAACGAACGTACTGAAAGTTTGCTTGGCATGGATGAATATAGATATGTAGGCAAAGATCGTCGTGACAAACACGGTGGAGGGGTTGGTTTCTATGTCTGTAATGATTCTACCTTTCGAATAAGAGATGATTTGAAATGTTTGCAATAGAGATCATTAACAATTTTAAATCTAAAAATTCAATTGTGATGGTTAGTTATCGACCTCCAATATACGAAATTAAACAATATTTTAAAGAATTAGAACAAGTTTTACAAATAACTAGTAATAAAAATAAATTTGTTTATCTTTTGGGAGATCTAAATATTGACTTATCGCCAGAAGTTAGCAGTATAAATAAAATTCAATTGAACCAACTTGTGACATGTTACAACCTCAAATCCATGATCACAGTTCCTACAAGAATCAGTAATACAAAAAAATCCACTATAGACATTTTGTTTACAAATCATCCAGAAAATATTATACAATGTGGTACCATTTATGCGACCTATCAGACCACATCCCACTTTTTGCTTCCACTAATCAAAAAATAAATAATAAGACAGTTGCTGACGTTACATTTTCAAAAGATTCTTATTCAACACACAGAATAAATAACTTAAATGAAGGTTTATGTAATGCCGATTGGACAAGTGTGCTGAGCTGCGATAATGTAGATGTGGCCTTCCAAAATTTCATCGACATCTTTCGGTTACATTATAAATCTTTTTGTTCAGTGACCTCTAAAAGACAGGTTCAGAAGATGACAAAAAACAAACCGTGGATAACTAAAGAATTTAAAAAAATGTTAAAAAAGAAGAAAATGTTATATAAAAAATATCTAAAGCACACATCGTCAGACAACTTTACAGCACTCAAATCATGCAGCAAATTATGCAACAAGATCAAGTGCCAGTTGAAAAGACAATATTATTTTAATCTTCTACAACAAAGCAATGGCGACAGCAAGAAAACACGGTCAATCATCAATTCTTTAACGAAACGAAATAACAAAAAAACATCAACAATTCAATTAACTTTAAATGACGATCCAATTGATAATCCTAAAACTATCCTCAATAATTATTTCATCAATCTGGCCTCAGACATGCAGCAATCATTTGTAGAAGACGCAAGATGGAAAAATTATCTTCAAAATTGGTCAGTAAATTCATTTTTTTGTAACCGTGTTTCATCATCTGAAATCATTTCAACCACAAAACTTTTTAAACCCAAGACGTCGAGTGGTTACGATGAAATATCAACCAAAATAGTAATATCAACAATTCAATCAACAGCAACAATTCTTGAATATTTAATCAACTTATCATTTGACAAGGGCATCTTTCCTAAGTGCTTCAAGACATCCAAAGTTGTTCCAATTGCAAAAGAAAGAGGTAACTCAGAGGTTAAAAACTTTCGACCTATATCTTTGTTGCCTGTTTTTTCGAAGATTATTGAAAAATTGATGCACAGTCGTTTGCTCAAATTTTTTGAAAAAAATAACATCCTTTCTAATCATCAATTTGGTTTTCGAAAAAACCACTCAACTGAAATGGCAATACTGCAACTGATTCAAAAAATTGGAGTCGCAAGTGAAAAGAAAAATTATGTAATTGGAATATGTCTCGATCTGTCAAAAGCTTTTGATTGTATTGACCATTCGATTTTATTACACAAACTTCATCACTATTGTATAAGAGACTCCAGTTTGACTTGGTTTCGTAGCTACCTTTTATCAAGATATCAATTCGTTACCTGGAACAATAAAAATTCAAGTAAATTGATCAACAAAATAGGTGTTCCGCAGGGCAGCATTTCGGGACCATTGTTATTCATAGTGTTTGTGAACGATCTACCGATGGCCTCGAAATTTTTTAATTTTGCTGACGATACAAATGTGTTCAGCAAAGGAAAAGATATTAACATACTCATCAAATATACAGAAGAAGAAATTAAACATGTTAATTCTTGGTTCTCACTAAATAAACTTACTTTAAATAGTTCTAAAACGCAAATGATAATCTTTGGACCAACTCAATATTTAAACTACAAAGAACCTTATAAAATTAAAATAAATAATATTGATATCTATGAAAATAAAACAGTTAAATTTCTGGGCGTTCATCTAGATCAAAAGTTAACGTTCCGTGATCACGTTAATAGTGTTGCAAACAAACTTGCCAAATCAACTGGTCTGATGAACTAGGTGAAATTCTACCTCACAAAAAAGTGTCTGAATTTGTTGTATCACTCACTTTTCATGCCACACCTGATTTATTGCAACATTGTCTGGGCTGGCACGTATCCTTCAGTCACGGATCCGGTTAAACTTATGATGAAAAGGGCCGTCAGAACCATCACCATGTCGGCGATGAGGTCTCATACCAAGGAGTTATTTACGACAATCAATAATCTTAATTTTAATCAATTGAATATTTATCGTACTTTGATTTTTGTGTATAAGCAGCTTAATAATCAATTGCCTAATACGTTTGCTAATTATTTTAAACATGCTAACAGTCATAGGATGTCTAATTATTTGCAATCGAATAAATCAAAAACTAACATTTTACATTCGCATGTAACCTGTAAGGGTCCTAGGACCTGGAATAACATTATTAAGAATGGCTACTGATTTAAAAAAAAAAGTTAAATCGTTTTTAATAATTAACAATTATTTAAATTATTATCCTTATTAATAATGTAGAGATATTTATAAAATCACTAAACATTTAATGTCCTAGGACCTGGAATAACATTATTAAGAATGATTTAATTTAATTTAATTCTATGATTAATAATTTAATAAATTATATAAGAAATGTATTTACATCATGAAATTTATGTTCTCTATCTATAAACAATTTCTGCTGATATTTTTAATGTGATTATAATTATTTATGAAACATTATTTTTTAGTTAACTACCTTTTGTTTTATTATCTGTTATTAACATACTAACAACTAACAATATTTGATATTAACCACAAAACTCTGAACATATTTGTCTAGGTGGCAGTGCTAGATGAGCCCATTAGGGGCTCGATCACATTTATCCTGTCTCTTATTTATTATCAGTAATTTGGAGGAGCAAATAAAATTTCGTTTCGTTTCGTTTCATACATACATACATACATACATTTTTTTCGCTACGTTGGGTTTAGCCGTATTTGATTTTCTCTGCGTTTTTGTAATTTTTGTGATATTTATATCGAGGTTATATTGTTAATTTTGGATCCCTTTTAAAGCATAAATTAAGAGGAGTATCCCGTATTTTTATTTTTTGAATTAGCTAACAATTTAATTAAATAATTTAATTTAGAATTAACTTGTATTGTTATATAGCTTTAAAGGACACACTTTTTAAACTAGTTGAATATAATTTGTTGTCGTCAACGCATAAGGAGTGTTGTGTACGAACATTAACTTATATTCTAACGTTCAATATTATAAATTGAAAGTTAAACTGTTTTTTGGTGAAAATGAATAAAAATAAATGTTTGCAATGTTCAGAGGCGAAAGGTCAGGGGAAGGCTGTTAAATGTTCTCAGTGTGAGTTCTTTGCGCATGCGAACTGTGTTTCAATCCCTGAAGAGGTTTGCAACCTCTTGGATTCCAGCACCAACCTCAGATGGTTCTGTGATAGATGCTCAAGTCTAGGACCTAACATTAAAAAGTTGACCAGCTCTGTAGATTCTCTCAGAAAAGATGTTTTCAACAAACTCAGCACATTGAACGATTTGAATGCAAATATAAAGTCAGAGCTCGAGAATATCAACGCAGTAATAGAAAGTAACAAAGAAAAGTTAAATAAACTTGAGAACTCTGATGTTTTTCGTGGTGAATTGAACACCTTGAAGAATGATATGAAAGTATCATTTGCAGATATCGTCAGTCGCGAGATTAAAGGACACACTGATGATATAAAGGCTGAAGTAAAAACAGTCCAGGCGACAATAAATGATGCTAAACAAATCAAAGAAAGAGAAAATAATCTAATTATGTTTCATTTGCCCGAGAGTGGCAGTGATCGGGTGGACGTCATGAAAATTCTGAAACACCTGTCTAATAATGTTGTTGATGCTAACCCAGTTCATCTAACTAGACTCGGAAAAAAATCAGACGATCATACTCGACCGCTGCTTTTGAAAATGGATAGTGTTGACATAAAAAACATGATAATTAAAAACGTCTCTAAATTAAAATCGCTTGACGTCAGCCTGGGTCGCATCGGACTCAGTCACGATCTCTCTCCAGAGCAGAGAAAGGAACTAAGGTCAAAGATAGAGGAGGCAAGGGCATTGGAAGCTTCTGACAAGGGTTTTTTATACCGTGTAAGAGGTCAGGTTGGCAAATGGAGGGTGGTGAAATTTCCGGTAACTCTAAGACAGACCTAGGTGTTCAACTGACGAATACTAATGATGTTGGTGGTGATGATGGCGTTCATGGTGACTTTCTGACGACAAAGAGTATTGGTAGTAGTAGTTTTGTTGGTAATGCTTGTGGGTATGATGATGGCCGTGGTGATGATATTAGAAAATATTCGATATCAAATTGTAATGTTAATAATTTTAAAAATTATGGTCATATTAGTGCAAGTGATAGAGTTAGTGGTAAAGATGGTGGTGGCAGTTTTAACATAAAAGATGTTAGTTTTAGTTTGAATAATAATAGTAATGTTGTTGGTGGTGAAGATTTTGGTGTTCTCAGTCTGACGCTTGGGGTTATTGGTAACGATTATTTGGATTCATCTCTCGACGGTAATAAATGTTTAATGATGAAAGGCACTGGCAATGACTTAAATGGTAATGTTAATTTTGGTTGTTGTAATGATGGTCATGGTCTTGATGGTGGTGGTTATTCGATGGTCTGTGGTACTGGAAGCGATCTGAACGTTATTGGAAAAAATGGTTGTGGTAAAGATGATGGTAGTGATTGCGTAATAACAAATGGTGCCGGTAATGATTGTAATGAAAGTGGTGGTTTTAATGATTTTAAAAAAGTAGGTAATAACAATGTAATGAAAGGTGGTGCTGTTGGTAGAAATATTGGTGGAATCAAAAATGATCGGACTAATAACTTTTGTGTGGTTAAAATAAAATTGGGTTTACTAAATATAAGATCGATTGGCTCAAAGTACAACATCATTTATGATTTGATCAGTGATGGTTTGAATATTTTTGTTGTTACTGAATCATGGCATGGTTCATCAGAAAATCCCTCCATTGCGTTATCTGCTCCTCCCGGTTACCGCTCTGTAGATTGTGTAAGAGATCACGACCCTCTTCATGGTGGATTGATAATATTTTTTCGTCTATGTTTGAAATGTAAAAAAATAGCCTTACCTACAGTTACCACATTTGAAGTTTTGGCGGTCAGGTTCACAGTTAATAGTCAGGAGTTTATTTTGCTCGCTATTTACAGACCGGGTTCTGCACAGCTGTCTGGATTATTTTTTAGAGAACTGATTTCTATTCTGGAAAACATTACAGTACTCAGTTCTCGAATTGTTTTAACCGGGGACTTCAATGTGCACGTTGAAAAGACGAATGATCCTCATGCTGCTAATTTAAATGAAATCTTCGATAATTTTCAACTCATCAATCGTGTAAAAGCACCAACACATTTACGTGGTGGTACACTAGACTTGATAGTAACCTCCGAGGATTTTCCAGTTCATGATTGTTTAGTCCATCCAAGTGGAATTTATTCTGATCATAGTTTTATTTGGGCTGAACTGTCGATGACTCGAGGATATTTGGTTGGAATTAAAAAAGTTTCTAAAATGTGGAATCAGATGAATGTTGATGACTTCATCAAACTTGTGCTTGAATCTCCACTCTCCAAATCATGTCAAGGCAATGAGGTAGACAAGGAATTGCATTTATTTAACAACGAGTTAAAATCTATTGCTGATAAAGTTGTCCCTATTCGTGCAGTGACCGCCAATAACGTTCGTATGGCTCCGTGGTTTGATAATGATTGCAGGTTGGCCAAGCGTTTGTGCAGAAAAATGGAAAGAAGATACAGAAAAAGTTCACAGTTGATTCATCAAGATGAATGGAAGACTGCGTTGAAGAATAAATCGGAACTTTTCTCTAAAAAACGTCGTCAGTATTGGACAAAAGTTGTTGATGAAAATAAGATGAAACCAAAAAATCTTTGGCGGGTTGTGAACAGCATTCTCTGTAGGGGTCGTAACGATAAATCCTGCTCAGATATGGATGAACTAACACCTGATCGATTTATGTGCTATTTCAATGAAAAGTTAAGCAAGCTGAGAGATAGTGTCAACAATGATGCTCAACCGAGCCTGGCAGAATTCCAATCAGGTGTCAGTAATAGTTTGTTCTCAACGTTTTCTATGGTTTCTGAAGAGGAGGTAATACAGTTAGTTCAAAATTCACCTACAAAGTCGTGTCAACAAGATGTAATACCTACCCACGTATTAAAGAAGTTTATAAAACTATTTGCACCATTTTTGGCAAGCCTGATAAACAGCAGTTTAAATGTGGGACAGTTTCCTTCTGGCTGCAAGCATGCTATCATAACTCCGCTGCTGAAGAAACATAATCTAGACGAAAATGATGTTGGGAACTACAGACCAATTTCTAATCTGTCTTTCCTATCCAAAATTATCGAACGTGTGGTTGCCAGGCAAACACTCAGTTACTTGAACAATAACATTTTATTGCCGAAATATCAATCTGGATTCCGTCAGTACCATTCGACAGAAACTGCTCTTTT